ATGGAGCGCATGCTCAAGATTGCCCAGCTCTCAAAACGGCCGCTTGAGCTGCACCACCACCGCCCACTTGCCATCAAGACATTCATCCCCAAGTTCGAGGACTCGTACGACCCGAACAAGCACTACGACCCGGATCGCGAGCGTGCGGAGATGGCCAAGTTGAAGAAGGAGCACAAGAAGGAGCGCAAGGGCGCCATGAGAGAGCTGAGAAAGGATGCCCAGTTTATGGCCCGCGAGAATCTGCGTGCGAAGAAGGCCAAGGACGAGGCGTACGAGAAGAAGTACAAGAGGCTCGTGGCGGAGATCCAGAACGAGGAGGGCAGGGAGGCGAATGCGTACGAGAGGGAGAAGGACGGCAGGAAGAGGGCCAGAAACCGGTAGACGGATCGCGCTTCAGTCTTTTGTGTTATGGTATCAAAAAGTTGATGGGTGCTTTTCGGCATAGTTTATTCCCTTTTTTGTATTCAATACCAGTAGAGGTAGAGGGGTGGAGAGCTCATATCGTGGCTTCACATACATGATTAGGCAATGGGCCATTAATCAAGAATCCATACCCAAACGAACCAGTCGGCGTACGCAGTGTCATCATGAAGACCGGCAACATCAGTATCTAAGATTCCATTGTACAGGTTTGTGAGGTGATTCGAACTTCCGTTTGAAGTGCATTTGTACAGTGTGACTAGTCGTATTCCCACCATCGTTTGCCTGCCTGGCCGGACAGCTGACGTCGGTCCCACACTATCCTAGAACGTGCATCAACAAGCCCTTTAAACATCCTTCAACTTCAATGTTACGATTTAAGATCAAGCTGCCGTCAATATCACAGACGTTCATCTAAGGAGTCTTCCCAGTATCACGACTCAAACTTTGGCCGGCTATTCATCGGCCTTGAATTCCTAGCTCATAAGCTCTGGATTCAACGCACCAAGACTGAGCCTCATAAAACTAAAGAACCACCCAAACCACGCTTACACGGCCTCACTCACACCAAATACAAACCCAATACCAAGCACGCGAAGCTCTGCATCCACAATTCAAACGCAACCTATACACAAACTCCAGGTGGGCTGGCCATAGTGCACCCCCACACCATCGAGCAGCAAGCCATGGCAGCCTCCGACGATGAAGACGACTACATGAACATGACATTTGATGAACCATCCACCTCCACCAAAGCAAAATCCCAACCAGAAACGTCTCTCCAGCGCCGCCAGCGCCTCAAACGCGAAGGCGAGATCCGCGGCCGGCCCAAGTCCAAGGAGGAGCTCGCGGCCGAAGAGGAAGCGGCGCGCGAAAAGGCGCTCTCGCGGTCCCTACTCGAGACGGCGGCCGCCAAGAAGAGTAAAGGGTTCGCGATGATGGCCAAAATGGGCTTCAAGGCGGGCAGCGCGCTAGGTGCAGATGCTGCGGCCACAGGCGGCTCTGGTGCTGGCAACGATGCCAGGACGGAGCCGATTGCCGTCGAGGTCAAGGCGGACCGGGGCGGCATCGGGATGGAGAGCGAGAGGAAGCGGAAGTTGAGGGAGGCGGCGGAGAGGATCGAGGAGGAGGTGAGGGAGGGGAAGAGGGTAAGGGTCGATCCGTTGGAGTATCGGGACCGGGTGAGGATGGAGAGGGAGGCGGCGAGGGTGCAGGCGCAGGTGTTTGCGGCGCAGCGGGTTTCGGAGAGGATGGCAGATGAGAAGGAGGGCGAGGAGGAGGCCGGGTTGCTGGGTGTCAACGGGGCAGCAGACAGCACAAGAAATGGTGACGATGAGGAAGACGGCAGGAAGGACAAGACGAAGACGAACAAGACACGAGTGTCCGGCGCGGCGTCGAGACCGCTCAAGTCGATCAACGTCCTCTGGAGGGGCCTCGCCCGCCACCGCGAGGAAAAGGAGCGGGACCGCAGGATGAGGTACGATTTGGAGCAGAGCCTGTCGCGGCTGCCGACGTACGAGGACGACGACGAGGACGCCGACGACCGCACGGCGTTGGGCAAGAAGCAGGTCGTCTACGTCACCGCGGAGGACCTGGACGAGGAGGATCCCGAGCTCGACGAGTTCAACGAGCTCGAGGACGTCGAGAAGCTAAGGCGGCTGGTGGAGTATCTGAGGAGGGAGCATCGGTACTGTTTCTGGTGCAAGTATACGTACCCGGACGATGAGATGGAGGGGTGTCCTGGTGTCACGGAAGAGGATCACGACTAAGTTGGGAAAACATTTGTCTGCATGGTATCATAGTATCGGGGAAGTGTCATGATGAGTGTCATTATAATGTACAATATCTACATTTTGATATTACAGAGAGGATTTGTGGCGTCTAGCCCCTTCCTTTACGTGCCAATATATCGTACACGCCCATTTCCTTGGCCACCATCGACACCTGGCCGTTCGCCAGCTCACCAGCTTCTTGCATATACGCCGCCTGCAAATAGGACGAGTACTCCTCGCCACGCTGTTTTTGGGTCATCTCATCAAGAGTGAGAGATCCTCCGATGGACTTCTGGCGGGTTTCGACGTGCGAGTCAATCTTGCGCTTAATGAGGCGAAGCTTCTGTCGCGCCTGCGTCGTCTCCCAGGCCAGACTTGTAGTCTCCATCATCATCTCGAGGGCCAACACCTCGGGCGGAGTGAAGTCAAAGACGGCCTTAAAAGCTTGGAGGGCAACGACGATACCGATTTTGTCCTTGAGCCGGCGGAATGTATGGAGGATCTTCCTCGCGATTTGCCCATCGAGACCGTCTGGTTTGAACACAGACGCGAAGCGAACCATTTCTGCAAAAGTCTCCCGTGTAATTCTGGTTTCGTTGACAAGCTCATCGCCTGCAATGTTGTGCAGACGGTTAGCACCAAGCATCTTCCACAATGCCATAAACGTATAAGGATCAGGTTTGACCTGACGGTCATACACGAGGGTCTGGTACAGCTGGCGCGCTTCAAAGATATTGCCGTTCTGTGAGTGGGACTCTAGTAGCTGGTTCATCATGAAGGCGTCCGGGCTGATTTCTGCTTCTCTGAAGGCGTCCCATAACTTGGCTAGTTCGCCATGGAGGCTTCGAAGACGATAATTCTCCGCAAGTAGAGAAAACGTTTCGAGCGTGGCCTTGGGCATGGCAGCTGTATGAGATTTTACAGAGACCTCAACTGTACGAACCGGCCCTTCCATGGTTGAAAGCCGACGACGGTTCTCGACAAACTCTACGCGAGCATTGATCATTTGCCATGCCAGCTTGTCCGCCCTTTCCAAATTGTCGGCGCCACCTGATCTTTGCCAGGCACCGATAAGCCCATTCACCTGAATGCTGGCCGCTTCGATACCCTTGAAACGCATGAATTCGAAGACGCTATGCGCTCCATCGAGGTCTCCAGCACCGATAAGTCGTTTCAGCCATTTTCCGAAAAAGAATTTGTTGCCAATTTGAGAAGGTAATCGGTCTCGTCCGCTCAGCTCTACTGTACTAGAGCTCATCATATCGACGAAGGCTTGTAGAGCGTATTCCGTTTGTCCAGTCGTCAGGAAGAAAGAGATCACCTGGTCGTAGTCCTCGAGTCCCATTGAAGAGCCAAGAAGGTCCCTCATTCGACGGTATGCGTCCCAGGCTTTTATCCTTGGCTCCGCGTTCGGATTTGTTGCACAGCTCCTAATGTACGGTAACAGAATGCGTGGATCGAGTTGGCGCTCGAGCAGCTTATTCACCGCGCGCTCTCCCTGCACAAGATCACCTTGTTGGCAGAACATGCGCACTCCAAGCTCCCAAAACTCCTTGAAGGTGTCTGCACCACTGTCGCCAAGAGTGGACATACATCGCTTCCAGTTATCGATGGCCTTAGCTTCCCATCCGTCCACAAACATGGCTTCGACTGTGACCAGCTGCTGCGAAGGGCTCAAAGCAACCTTCGCCTCGCTCATGTCTCTTGCTAGCAGCGAGAGGTACGTGAGGCGGCTTGGGTTTTTCGCATCGTCAAGCGACAGAATGTCCCACAGAAGGTTCCATACGTCTTGAGGGACATGCGCCCAAGCCTTTGCTAGAGATTGCCTCGCCGCGCCGTACGTCTTCCACACAGTCTGGGCAGTCTTTGCCGTCACATCTTCACCTCGTCGCATCTCTCTAGTCGTCCGGGAGAGGAGCGTATTTAGTCGTACTATCCGCTTTCGCTGGTTGAAGCTCCACACTTTCTCGGGGATCTGCGGAATCGGAGGGTGCCTCTTTCGTTGTGAGGGGTCCACGCGAGCAGTTGCCTGTATAACGCCCAGTGTTGCCGCGTGGTTCTTGTAGTCGAACTGGCTGACGTCGAATCCTCTTGCCTCGAATTGGCTTTCTAAGTCTTTTATGTATGCGTTCAAGCTCTCCAATGTGTCTTCGGGATTACTGGCGTCGCCGAGCTTGTCTTCGAAATCTTTCGCAATCGAGTCGACGTCGTTGATTCCCAAAGCACCCAAGCCGCCCTCATTCCGGAAACGAGAGAGCGTGCGCCGCATATTGGCCGCAAAAGTCTGGTTCAGCTCCTTCTTCAGATCGTCGACGCCACCCATAGATTCTCTGAAAGCATCCTCATCCCCCAGCCGCTCGATCTTGCCGGATTCACCCTTCTCGAAGAACTTTATAATAGGCTCGTCGGTTCTTTTTTGCATCAGTTCCTTGAGAAGGTCGGCGGCTGCTCTGTTCGGGTCGGCATCGGTCTGGGTGGATGGCGTCGGAGCAGGTTTGCGCTGTGTGTTCTGAGCACCCGGTCGAGGCTTGACTCCTAGTTGAGCAATACGGGAGCTATGTCGAATGGTCCATGGCGGCGGGGCAGAAGAGCCCAAGGTTGACTGGCATGACTGGCAAATGAATGTGTTTCGACATGCTATGTCACGAAAAAGAGTTCTATGAGACATAAGGAAACACGAAGTTGGTCAACATGAAGGAGAAAGCGAAGAAAATGGGCGGCTTCAAGTAGAGAGGAAGCTCATGGCAGGTAGAGAAACGGGTCAGATTTTTTGATGGACCCTGAACCTAGGTGCACCTGCATCTGCGCGTCGCGGGTCATTAAGAGCTTATCTTATCAGAGACGTACAAATACCATCTACCGCCTACCATTTGGGGCGGAATCGGCGGCACATCCCGGCAGAAAAGATAATTTTCTAGATCCCACCTTCGTCTGCTCTTTTTTTTCGGCCGCGGATATCACCAGCAACAAACGATCCACGGCAAAATGGCTTCCGCTCCCGAGTACCTGCGGTTCACAGGACACAGGTCCTTTGCGCAGCGACTGATCATATCAACTCTGACTGGTCGGCCAGTACACATTTCCAAAATTCGCAGCTCGTCGCCGACACACCCCGGTCTTGCGCCGCACGAGATTTCGTTCCTCCGTCTACTTGAAGCCGTCACCAATGGCAGCTCCATGCAAATTTCGTACACCGGTACGACCATAACGTACCACCCTGGTCTGATTACTGGAACGATGGCCGGCTTTGGCGCATCCGATGGCGACGTCATCGAGCACAATCTGCCCGCGAACAACAACCGCGGCGTCACCTACTTCCTCCTCCCAATCTGCCTCCTTGCGCCATTCTCGAAGGCGCACGTCAACATCCGATTCACTGGCCCGGGTGTCATCACATCTGCGACTGAGACCGGCGACATCTCTGTCGATTCCTTCCGCACAGCCATCTTACCCCTCTTCGGTCTCTTCGGTATCCCGCCTGCGCGAATCGAGCTGAGAGTGCTGTCGCGATCCTGCCCTGGAAAGAATGGAAGAGGTGGCGGTGGTGTTGTTGAGCTCCGATTCGCCAGCCAGGTCCGTCTCCCGAAAACATTGCACCTGAACCGCAATCCCGGTAAAATAAGGAGGATACGAGGAGTCGCATACTGTACGGGAGTCTCAGCGTCCAACAACAGCAGAATGATTCACTCGGCAAGAGAGGTTCTGAATGCCCTCGTTTCGGACATTCATATCGCAGCGCAGTACGACACAGCACCCCTTATCACGGCGGCCGACAAGTCAAAGACACGAACGGGCATTGGTTTCGGTCTCAGTTTAGTGGCTGAATCGAGCTCTGTCGGAGTTCTCTATTCGGCAGATGTGGTAGCGCCACCTGTGGGCGGCGTGGTGCCCGAAGATATTGGCAAGAATTGTGCCTATCAACTGCTGGAAACCATTGCGCAAGGCGGATGTGTCAGCAAAACATCAGCCAGCACTGTCATGACGTTGATGGCTATGGGATCTGAAGATGTGGGCAGACTGAGGATAGGAAGAGATGTCATCGGAACAGAAGAAATGGTTGGGCTCGCGCGGGACTTGCGAACATTCGGCGCGAGTAGTTGGGGTTTAAGGGACGTTGAAGACGATGAGTCGAACGATATACTTGTTTCGGTCAAGGGAAGCGGTGTTGGTAATGTTGGTCGCAAAATTGCTTAAGATACCAGAATGCGACGGCACAATTGAAGATCAATTGCCATTGGATATCATGATACCATCTAGACTACCTTTCATTCCTCTGGTTGCGCTCTAGCTGTGGTATCCTCCTCATCGCGGACAGTCTCGTCAATGTGGCGGTATAACCGAGGGTTTGAAGCGAGTGACCTGCCGCTCCCCAGTAATCAGTGGTAGCGTGTCTAATAGTGTGAGATATGTGGAACTCTCCCAACTCGCCGTTCCCTGAACTGAAGACGTCGAATAAGTGCATCCCACTGGCTGCATTCGAGGACGAGCGTCGTCTTGAGGGCCTCCTTCTTAAAGGCTCCTGGTCATTTTCAGCTTCGCCGTTGGGCCTCAGAGGCTGGAGCTCCACGCTGTCTGCACCTTCCATGTCCAGTCCAGGTGCATCTCTCAACACCCCCCGCTCTTCGGCGTCGTGATCTTGGGTAGAAAGACCGATCGTCTCTTCTAGTGCTGGGGGCAAACGGAATAACAATGGCCTTACAATTGGCCGTAGCTTCTCTCGCTCGGCATGGACAGCCAGCATGAGACACTGCACAGCCAGTATAATACAGTCGAGAGCTAGAAAAGTAAGCCTCGAGGTTGGTGGTTTCTGCCCGATGAAGTCGACGATGACACCGCCGTGAAGATAACCACGCGCAGCTTCGCCAGCTACAGGTAGGGATGCAAGAATATGTAGCAAGACACAGAGCAAGTTCGGGACAAACACCGATATAACTTGTGACCGGGCCGCCGCCATAGTCAATGGGTAGTCGTCAGGCTTGGGTGTAAGCCAGTGGTGTTGTCCGTAGACACGAACTGCAAAGCGGAAGATGGAGCACCTGCATAATTGTCAAAATATTAGACGACGAAGAGAAAGAAGGGGAGAGTGGCATACTCCATGTAGTATAATGTGCATAGCTCTGCGTATACTAGGGAGTCGAGATTCCGCAGTAATTGGGTCAAGAAGTCGAACTTCTTTGCCAGGCCGGGATTGGTCTTTCGATGTTTCCGCCGTCGCCTTCTCCTAGAACCTCTAGCTTCTGCATCATCGGCGCGGTTTGAAGGCTCTGGACCCCCTCTGCCATCCTCCTGGTCGTTCCCGAAAGGGATTGATCGGCCTGGCAGGGTCTCTGGCGCGGCATCATCGACCATAGCTCGTTGGCCTCATTTGTGTCGGCGGAGATTCCTGCAGCGTGGCGACAAGTGCGGCGCTTCACATACTCCAGCAGGTTGGCAAACGACGGCGAGGGGAAGGGGAGTTGGCTGTGAAGATAAAAGCATGAATGAAGATATTCCCGACCGTTGGGACCGTGATGCGAACAGATGTGGATAAAAGCCGACCGAAGCCAGCTGCAGGGATACCAAGAGTGACGCCACAGCTTGAGGAATGGAAGGTAGGCAAGCTGTCCACGACTCGACGCGGTAAGCTCAGGAGCTAGACCCACTGGCGCGGGCACCTTCTGATATCGGAACAGGAGAATCTTTGATACGAGTACCCCTCCATCCATCCCGCGCAGGGTCCACACTCCCCTCCGATTTGACATTCGCAGTGGCCAAATTTCTGCCAGGAGTTCCCGCCTAATTTACAAGTGCCCCTCTGACTCAACGAGCCGAACATCGACATCTCGACGTGCGAGCCACATATCCAGACAACAACGCACGAAATCATGGCGACGGCAAGCAACGGTCCTTCTGGGGACCTTACATCCCAGATCCTTTTGGCTTTGTCCCAGAAGGATCCCATCCTGTCTGCCGAGCACTTCCCAGAGTTCCACTTCACGGACGTCAAGGCCGCACTGGACCGCCTCGCTAGTCGTTCCATGGTCACATACGAGTCAATTGACCGGGAGGAAGCCGTTCTCGAGGCCGAGGGCAAGCAAATCGCCGAGCACGGCAGCCACGAAGCTCGTGTCTTCGAGGCGGTCCGGAAAGCCTTGGAGGGGTTGACGGTTCAAGAGCTTGAGGCTGCTGTGGGAGACAAGAATGTGACGAAGGTCGGCCAAGGCAAGGCCTTCAAGGAGAAGTGGATCAAGAAGGGCGGTGACGGCAAGCTTATTGCAACTGTATGTTTGTCCGCCCCAAATCTCACCAAACCATGCTAATGCTGTGTGCGCAGGCCGACTCGATTCAAGACGTTACCCAGGCTCAGCTTAAGCAGATCCTAGAGACGAAGACCCACGAGCCCAAGATCATCACCGACTTGAAGAAGCGCAAACTCATCAAGACCCAGAAGGTCATCGCATACAAGATCCAGAAGGGACCTGAGTTCGCATTGGAAATTAAGAAGGAGGAGACGGACTTGACGGCTGACATGATTGCGTCTGGCTCATGGAAGACTGCCAACTTCAAGCCGTACAACTTCAAGGCTCTTGGATCTGACCAGAACTCCGGCGCTCTTCACCCCCTCAACAAGGTCCGCCACGAGTTCCGTCAAATTTTCTTCGAGATGGGCTTCGAGGAGATGCCGACCGACAAATTCGTCGAGTCTGGATTCTGGAACTTCGACGCCCTTTTCGTGCCCCAACAACATCCCGCGAGAGATCTCCAGGACACTTTCTACATCTCGGATCCCAAGGTTGCAGACAAGCCTGGCCCCGAGTCGGAAGACGACAAGAAGGATTACAAGACGTACTGGGACAACGTCAAGGAGGTCCACCAGGATGGCAAGTTTGGCTCAATCGGCTACCGTTATCCCTGGGCTGCGGACGAGGCTCAGAGGCTTGTTCTCCGCACGCACACGACAGCCATCTCCACCGCAGTACTTCATCAGTTGGCTTCCAGAAAGGGACCGGACGGCAGACCTCCCCCGGCCCGTTACTTCTCCATCGACAGAGTCTTCCGTAACGAGAGTGTCGACGCTACGCATCTGGCTGAGTTCCACCAGGTCGAGGGTGTCATTGCGGATTACGGACTTACACTGGGAGGCTTGATGGAGTTCATGGAGATCTTCTTCAACAAGATGGGCATTACAGACATCAAGTTCAAGCCGGCGTACAACCCTTACACGGAGCCGAGTATGGAGATTTTCAGCTTCCACAAGGGCTTGAACAAGCTCGTCGAAATCGGTAACAGCGGTATGTTCAGACCGGAAATGCTCGAGGCAATGGGTCTGCCCAAGGATCTGAGAGTATACGGTTGGGGTTTGAGCTTGGAGAGACCGACTATGATTAAGTACGGCATCTCCAACATTCGTGAGCTGTTGGGACACAAGGTGGATTTGAACTTCATCGAGAGAAACCCGGCAGTAAGACTTGACAAAAACTAGATGATTCGGCATGGGAAAGTAGAAAAAGGGATACGACTTACATGAGATGAGCTTGGGCTGGCATATGTTGGCGAATGGAATACCAATCACGTTTTGAAAGGTCGTACTGTCAAGCTGGCAACCATGAGGTTACCAGGGTGTTAAGACTCAGGCCTGACCTATCGACGATCGTGAGATTCAGCTGCCCCACGGCTACTCTTCCGCAGGTGGACGATTTAAATGAGCTGTCAACGTCTAGCAAGGGTCGGCAGGTGATCCTCATGATAGATTTTGACATTCCACATCGGTGTCATTGGTGTCATCGGCGCCAGGACCGATTCGGCCGTTTCCGAGTTGTTCAGCGGCATTTGCTCGGACTGTAGTTGAGAACTTGAGGCATTGGCCAATGGCAGAGATGAAAAATTGACGACTCCCCGGCACTGAGTGCTAGAGGCGGGGCAAATGCCAGATGTAGCGGGGTTGGTTAGGCCAAATGTCAGATCGCATCCCAAACGGTAAGAAGCTCGGGCCCTCACTCAGGACAAAAAGGTGCGTGCAATTCGACTCTGGCACAGGGTGTGAGACTCACTGAGCACCTCAGTGAAAGCAGAAGCCGGACGGGATGCCGCCCGGCACACGGCCAAGAGCGAACGAGCGAGCGAGCGCCGTGAGTCACTCTTCCAGGACTCCAAAGTCGAACAGTCCTTGCCAGATTGACTGGAGCAGCTGGAGCACGCCCGGGGAATATTGGCAAGTCCCCATGGGTCTCCAACCGTCTCAATTGACTCAATTATGAGGTACCCTACGGATACGTAGGTACATGGAGCATTATTTCCATCCCAAAAGAGTTTGTTTCCGTGACTCAACAGTGCATATTGTCCAAGCTGCTAGTAATGTCTGGGCACCTTGAGCTCAGGGCTACCTACCTTACCTCCGCAGACAGGCAGGAAAGAAGGTAAGGTATGCACAAAGCTCGAGTCGGCTGGGACGAACCAGTGGGAGAACCACCAGCTTCAAATACTCTTTCACTTCAAGACACACAAAAAGGCCGGGGAACGGCTCGGGGCATCTGACGGTTACAGACGAGAATGCGTTGCTGAGAGTTTTGACAACGCTGTAAAACCTTGTTCAGTACCTGCACTGTCAGAAATTTTCGCCAAATCCCAAGCCTCGCTCATTAGAGTGAGGGCGGGAGACACTAGGGTGGTCCCTCAGCGAGAGAGAGATGGATGTGCGAGGGTGTGTACAGTCACTGCGGTGACGCAGAAAGTTGCGATAACGGCGCCCAAGTGGTCCCTGGCGCAGTAGACGGGGTAGCAGACGGGGCCTTGAGGAAAGAGACGGATGTGATATTACCCCAGTTAGCGTCCTGAGCCATTGTTGGGCCCCCCCCCGATCGGCCAATTCAACAACCGCTGAGAGAAAAATTTCCTTATCTTATCACAATTCGGACCGCCTTTTGTCGCTGAAGACGAAGACCGCTGCGACCATCTTCCCTCCCCACAACTCTAACAAAGCTCACGGAAGAGTCACAAACCTTCCCTCCCCGGCGGCCATAATACCTCTTCTCTCTTGGTCCAAAAACCATTCAATTGGCTCTGACCTCGAGTATTCTCTCTCTTCCCCAAGGTCTTTGTCGCATTGATCCCTTGAAGCCTTCACAATGCCGTCGGCCATGTCAAGTTCTTTGGCAGGTCGAGCTCCGGCTGTCCTCCGACATGGTCGCCGAGTCCCTACTGCTCTGACCGGTCGCAACTTCACCCTCGCCGCCTCCAACGGCCTCGCCAGAGCCCAACTCCAGAACAGCAGTGCTAAGCTGCTTCAGAAGCGCCTCTTTACCGCGAGCGCACTTCGTCCCAGTGCCGCGCAATCTGCGCCGAATCCCAAGGCTTATCTTGAGAGCGGTGTGATCAAGCCCTCCGCTGGCGTCGATGTCAAGAAGGTCCTCGTTATTGGCAGTGGTGGTCTTGCCATTGGTCAGGCCGGAGAGTTTGACTACTCAGGTTCGTTTGCTTGCCAACCTCGCGCTCAACGAGTGTAAAGAATGAGTCACAGACACCAAGGAGCTTTCTGGCTAACACGACTCTTCATAAAGGATCACAAGCTCTGAAGGCTCTGAAGGAGGCTGGCGTCAAGTCTGTCCTCATTAACCCGAACATTGCCACCATCCAGACCAACCACTCGCTCGCCGATGAGGTCTACTACCTCCCCGTCACACCGGAGTACGTGACGTATGTCATCGAGAAGGAGAAGCCCGATGGCATCTTCCTGTCTTTCGGTGGCCAGACCGCCCTGAACTTGGGTGTTCAGATGCAGCGCCTGGGTCTCTTTGAGAAGTACGGAGTCAAGGTTCTCGGAACCAGCGTCAAGACCCTCGAGACCAGTGAGGATCGTGACCTTTTCGCCAAGGCCCTCGGCGAGATCGACATCCCTATCGCCAAGTCCATCGCTGTCGGCACTATCGAGGAGGCTCTCGATGCTGCCGAGAAGGTCGGATACCCCATTATCGTTCGTGCCGCCTACGCACTGGGTGGTTTGGGCTCTGGCTTCGCAAACAACGAGGAGGAGCTCCGCAACATGGCTGCCCGCTCCCTTACTCTCTCCCCCCAGATTCTGGTTGAGAAGTCTCTGAAGGGTTGGAAGGAAGTCGAGTACGAAGTTGTCCGTGACGCAAACAACAATTGCATTACTGTTTGCAACATGGAGAACTTCGACCCCTTGGGAATCCACACCGGAGACAGTATTGTCGTTGCTCCCAGTCAGACTCTGAGCGATGAGGAGTACCACATGTTGCGATCTGCCGCCATCAAGATTGTCCGTCATCTTGGTGTCGTCGGAGAGTGTAACGTCCAATACGCGCTCCAGCCCGACGGCCTTGACTACCGTGTCATTGAGGTCAACGCCCGTCTTTCTCGTTCTTCTGCTTTGGCCTCCAAGGCCACCGGATACCCTCTTGCGTACACTGCTGCCAAGATTGGCCTGGGTCACAGCCTCCCCGAGCTCCCCAACGCGGTCACCAAGACCACGACTGCCAACTTCGAGCCTTCCCTTGACTACATCGTCACCAAGATTCCCCGCTGGGATCTTTCCAAGTTCCAGCACGTCAAGCGCGACATTGGCAGTGCCATGAAGTCTGTCGGTGAGGTTATGGC